GCCCACCTGCGGCGCCTCTCGGGCCTTAAGCTTGCCTACAACCGGGTCTTGGCACTCCCGGCTAGCATCGGCGTGCTCAGAGGTTTAGAACTCCTGGACCTCTCAAACAACCAGCTCAAAGGTCTCCCCCCAGCGCTCTTCACTCTCCGCCGCCTCCGAAGGCTCCTGCTGGCGGGTAACCTGCTTAAAGAGCTGCCCTCGGAAGTGAAGGCCCTGCATCTGATTACTGAGCTGGACCTCAGCGGGAACAGGTTAGAGAGCCTCCCCCCGGACCTCTTCAGCAGCTGTTTGGAGCTGCGGATCCTCAACGTGGCGCACAACTCTCTAGGCTCTTTTCCAAGTGGGATCGCAGCTTTAAATCATCTGTGCAGGTTGGACTTGCGCGGCAATAATCTGGAGGAGCTGCCCACGGAGCTGGGCTGCTGTTTGGGTCTGTGTGGAGGTGGGCTGCTGGTTGAAAACTGGCTGTTTCTCTCCTTGCCTCCACACGTCAGAGACATCCTGAACCATTCTTACACCTCCGGTGGTGCATATTCAGAGGACCGTTCCCGGCCAGAGTCTGACAGTTTCCCTTACTTTTCTCCAACACAGTGGAGCTTCTTTACAGCCCTGGAATCACAGATTTAAGACTGAGTGTGGGATGCAACAAGTTACATTTTTGTTCCAATACCTTAAAGTTCTCAGATCAGTTGACTAGTCAAGTTAAATGTTAGTTTGGCAATTCAAGTAACATATTATTGATTATCATCTACTAAAATGAGTCTGTTTGACTAAAAATAAAACTGTGACTGATAAATTAAAGAGAAAAATGTACCTCAAATAGGATCAAATATCAAGAAGGATTTTGGGTTTTTTTAATGCTGTTATATTGTTTACATTTGAGAACTTCATAGGTACAGGTTGGACGAACAGTCACGATGAACAGTGCCTTCTGTGTGGGCTCTTCCTTTTTTTTAAAGGTTTGTGGGTCGAATATTTTTTTTCACTTGTGCCTAATAAATTTTATACATGTTTTTATATGATGTTTGTGGTTATCTTGAAGGTTATTGCTGTCTTTGAAACACAGCCAAAAACTTGTGCCCAAACTGATCTGTTGCATTATATATATAAATGTTCTTAAAAGTAAGTATAAAAAGATTTTTTTAAGGTAACTGTTATGACTGTTAATATGGTCTAGATCCCCTGTTAGTATATAATTCAGTTATGGAATATCAGTTAGTAAATATAAAAACCTCATAGTTGTTTCTCAGTTGTTTTACTGTTGTCCTCTGACATAATCCATCCTCATAGATATTTTACAACAATTGTCTCTTTATTGGATTAATAAACAACTGTTATCCGCACCAAACTGTTTTTGTTTGTCTTTGTTATTTTCCAGCCCTCTGGAGACCGTTTCAGTATTAATACTCATTCATCCCTCTCATCCCAAATCCAGACATGCTCATTGACCTTTGATTATGGTGTGCGGGGTTAATTCCCAATGCAAAATGTTTTTCGACTTGATGTGACTCATTATTTACCTTATTAGATTCACTGTCGCTCCACTACTGGAATCTTTGTCTCTATTTTCAGTCCGTGGTTATATGGATATCATAAAGGTTTCAAGGATGCATTTCATCTTCCACTACAGCTTGGAATGGTTTGTAATATTAGAAAGCTTAGAAACTCAAAGTGGGGCAACTTGAAAGTGCGACATTCTACTTATGTATGTCAACCAACCCACATAAAATATGTGAGCCAAAGAAATCCATAAGAGGGAATATTGGCATTTCTATTGAAGTACATTTTCGACACATACAATTTTATCAATAAATCTTTGTTTGTCCTTTGTGAGCTTCCATTCTGACTACAGTCCCGCTTTTTTAAAGTGCGGGGGACTGCAGTGCAGTTTTTCTCCAATTACTGGCAGGCTTTTTAGGCGACCAACCAAACCCGCCAATGATTTGAGGTTTATTTCAGAGCAGGCGGGACTTCCGGTAACTGGTATAAACCAACTGCGGCCTCCCATGCGGTTTTGATCCGGTGCACTTGCAGTTAAGATCGTAAAGGTAAGCGGTTTAAATTAACTTCACCCTGACGAACAGATATATTCTAACGCTCATATTTCCGCTGAGGGCGTATGGTATCCTATTTGAACCGTTGTAGTAAAAAAAGTGCCCAAGTTTACTGAAATTCATTGTTAGCTTGAATGAGAGACGTAACATACGTTTGGTACGTTAGCATCTGATAGCTTAGCCAACCAACAGTCTTCCTCAAAATTGTTGCTAATCGCTAAATGGGTGACCTCCATCGACCGTTCTTATAATATCTTTACCGTTAACCATTTCCTATGTTGTTTACCATTACACCCAAATAAGCCGGTGTTGTTTTTTAACGGCCGTTACATTTAAACAAGTTAGCTCGCCACGTTAGCACGCGTTATGCAACACAATGGCTTTTGAGCTCACTGAGCGCTACGAAGCTAACCGGCTTGGCAAACTCGACGGGGTCGCACGAATTCTTACGTTTACCCATTTAATTATTTGTGTATCTCTTCCCTGTACGTATTTTCTTCGTACCGCCAGCAAGTATGCACTCTGTTAGCAAATTTTAATCGATTTGTTGTTAAAGCTCAGTCGCCGGCCTTGTGTGATAAAATGGAGCTGGTTTTTAGGTTGGAAGCGTTTAATAACCGTGATGTTTAGGTTGTTTTTGTATTGATTTTTACCAGCAATACAAACATATGCACTAGTTAGGTCGAAATTCTGCTAATTATATACATTTGATACATTAAGTGTGTGTGTGTATATATATGTATAAATATTTGAATGATAGATATATGTACTGAAATCCTATTTAATTCTTATTGAATTTGGTATGCAGCGAAATTTTGCTCTGTTTTCACGTTGTGCATACAGTTACAAGTTAGTTTAAGTCCAACAGAATGGTACAGATATGCAGCAGGTTATATTTAAATGACTATCAGTACTAGACGTTCAGATGGCCAGTATTTACCCCACCCCCTTAGTTGAATAACAAGCAAAGGCTGTGATTCCTGTTTTCCAGACGAACACAGAAACAATGGCAGAGAACGACGTTGAACATGAGCTGCTCGACTACGAAGACGATGACGAGCCTCAGGGAGCCCCCGAGAGTGCCACCCCGGTCGGCAAGAAGGAGGTGAAGGGCTCTTACGTATCCATCCACAGCTCCGGTTTCAGGGATTTTCTCCTCAAGCCCGAGTTGCTCCGCGCCATCATCGACTGTGGTTTTGAGCATCCGTCTGAAGGTGAGGGTTGTCACATGGACCACTGATTTCAATGTGTGTTACGTTTAGCTTCTCCTTTGTCGGCATCGTATATTAATACTCTTGAAAGGTTAGGATGCGTCACCACCTTCGATCAGGAAGATGCAGGTTGGCAGAGGAGCAGTCGAGGTTTTGTAATTCACAGGTAGCATTATATGATTACCAAGGGGAGCTAGTAAATATATTGTTATGGCTAAGACTTTTAAAATGTTGACCCGAGTGGACAATGGCTCCTCATACTGTCTTATCTGTTTAGTGAATTGAAAAAAAGGTTAAAGTGCTTGTTGATATGGGTCCAGTTGAATTACAGCAAATTACACCCCCCCTCCCTCTTTTCACTTTGAATAATTTGGACAATATGTGTTCTTCAAAATGTAATCTCTGCATGTTTTTACAAGCAGTTTGCAGAATACTGTGTCGCAGATCACCTGATTCTGTATCTGTGCACGTGCACTGGACACTAGCTCAAAGTCCCAGCCCCCAAATCTGGGTCCTCGATGGCGGCTGTCAAAAGAGGGCTTTAATTTTTCCCCGATTTAATTCACAAGTGGACCAGTACAGAGCCGAGTGACAAACGACCATATCTCTGTACAGCCCACCTGGTAATGGGTCCGTCACAGGAAAGCTCGGAATGCTGAGGGAGGAAGATTCCAAAAGCCCACTTCCTGTTATCTCAACACGTGAAAAACACCTGCATCGTGTCCTTCACAGATATTTGACCTCGGTCCTGAGGCTACACCCAGTTTAATCTGTACTCTGCCTCCGAGGGTACAGCGATCACAGTAAACGAGCAAAACAATTTCAGAGGTTAAATAATTGTGGCCGGAAGCATTAGTGATAAAGGCAACCACGAAGGGAACAGAAAACACGTCGTCTGGCCAATTTTTCAAAGATCACAGTTGAATTGTTGACAAACGGTCACAGAAAGAAACACAGTACCAGTTACTCATTTAAAGCCTGTTGGGAGGTGTATTTAATCTCTTGTGAATTTCTCTTTCCATATGAATGCGTTGTAAACCATCTGATCTGGGGTCTGTGAGCCTCTCCTCTCTCTCCCAACCCCTTTCCAGGCTGTACCGATTTTGTGGCTTTAACGTTTTGTTTTTCTCTCTTTTTCTGAACTCAGTCCAGCATGAATGCATCCCGCAAGCAATCCTTGGCATGGACATCCTGTGCCAAGCCAAATCCGGTATGGGCAAGACGGCCGTGTTTGTGTTGGCCACGCTGCAACAGATCGAACCCGTTGATGGGCAGGTCAGTATGAGCCTTCAACTCGCCTCCATTAAAGTGTTAGACATTACTATTTGGACTTTTGGATAACATAAATCACCTTTTAATCGGTTGTTGTTGTTTTTTTTCAACTAAAATAAATATAATGCCGATCCTTGTTAGGATTATATTGGCCATGTTAAATCTGTAGGCCAAGTTAGTGCGAAATGCACATAAATGGCAATTTAGAAATAAAAATCTGGTATTGGTTCCAGAAAAGTCAACACAATGCTCATGGGATTACAGTTTAGTCCCAAATACACATGAATGTGTGCATCCTATTTCATTATTGCCAATTTCAAGCATTAACTTGGAAGTATTTGTGCATGCGAAGAATTGGATGTGGTGCAGAAAAGATAAACGGAAATAAAAAAAATTACAAAAAAAATTACAAAAAAAATCTAAATGTGAAGTATATAGTTAGGAAGTCAAGATGGATGCAAAATGACAATGTGGATTTAAAAATACTAAGAATTTGGAACTAGTGGCTAAGAGAAATGTACGATCCTCCTTTGTATGGTTTAAAAACTCAAAGGCATGTAAAGCATTGTTTCTTTTCCCATTAATTCCAGGGAGCCTAAATGATCAGACATGAGTTTTCATGGGCCGTTTGATCGTGGGTCAAAGGGGGTTATGGCTCAATATCAAGTTCAACATGCCAGAAACCAGAAGCCCTTTAGTTTAGAATGTGTTGAAGGGTGGTCAGTGTGTTTTTTATTAAACATAGTGTGTATTTCTGCGTCTGCCCTCCCCAGGTGTCCGTCTTAGTCATGTGCCACACGCGCGAGCTGGCCTTCCAGATCAGCAAGGAGTACGAGCGCTTCTCCAAGTACATGCCCACCGTGAAGGCGGCGGTGTTCTTCGGGGGCCTGGCCATCAAGAAGGACGAGGACGTGCTGAAGAAGAACTGCCCCCACATCGTGGTGGGCACGCCGGGCCGGATCCTGGCGCTGATCCGCAACAAGACCCTCAGCCTGAAGAACGTCAAGCACTTCGTCCTGGACGAGTGCGACAAGATGCTGGAACAGCTGGGTGCGTCGGATCGTCCTGGAGCTGACCGGGGGGGTGGGCGGGGCTGACCCGAAGCTTAACGATTTTGTTCCTGTGCCCGCAGACATGCGGCGCGACGTCCAGGACATCTTCCGGATCACGCCCCACGAGAAGCAGGTGATGATGTTCAGCGCCACGCTGAGCAAGGAGATCCGGCCGGTCTGCCGCAAGTTCATGCAGGACGTAAGCGAGCCGAGAAGGCCGGGGGGAGGGGTCACTCTGTCCGGGCGGTCGGTAACGCTCTACGTTTCGGATCTACAGCCCATGGAGGTGTTCGTGGACGACGAGACCAAGCTCACCCTGCACGGCCTGCAACAGTACTACTGCAAGTTGAAGGACAGCGAGAAGAACCGCAAGCTCTTCGACCTCCTGGACGTGCTGGAGTTCAACCAGGTGAGCGGGCGTTCGGCCCAAAGCGTCCGGCCGTGCGCGGGCCAATCCCGGCGGTTCCCCCCCCGTAACGCTGCTTTCCGCCTCCAGGTGGTGATCTTCGTCAAGTCGGTCCAGCGCTGCATCGCCCTGTCCCAGCTCCTGGTGGAGCAGAACTTCCCGGCCATCGCCATCCACCGGGGAATGGCTCAGGAGGAGAGGTGATGGTTCTCGCCGTTAGCCCCCACCCCACCAGAGCGCCGTCAGCAGCTGTATTGACAACCCCCCCCCCTCTCTCTCTTGCAGGCTGTCTCGCTACCAGCAGTTCAAAGACTTCCAGAGGCGGATCCTGGTGGCCACTAACCTCTTTGGCCGAGGGATGGACATCGAGCGGGTCAACATCGTCTTCAACTACGACATGCCTGAAGATTCCGACACCTATTTGCACAGGGTGAGAACTTTTTTTTAAATGTATTTATTCTATTTATGTTATTTATTTTTTAACCGATCTTATTTCATTGGCACTGGGACCTCTTTGGAACAATTTTAGACTTTTTATTAGCTCTTTTAGCTATTAGCTTTATAGTGCGATTATTCATGCCCGCCCGTGTCCGTCAGGTGGCCCGTGCTGGCAGGTTCGGGACCAAAGGCCTGGCCATAACGTTCGTGTCCGACGAGACCGACGCCAAGATTCTGAACGACGTGCAGGACCGCTTCGAGGTCAACGTGGCCGAGCTGCCCGACGAGATCGACATCTCGTCCTACAGTAAGTCCACTGACCACGAGACTTTGCCTGTCAAACTGTAGTGCTTTTAAAGGATTTAAAGGTGCTTTACAAACGGTCCCACGACCAAAACACAATGTCCAGCCCGTCCAGATAATTGTTCTGGCTGCAGGGGGGCAACAGTTGGCATGTTTAACCCGCCGGTGAAAAGCCGGCATGCTCAGCTGTCGCTCATTGTGGAAATCCCTGACATGCTCAGCTAATGTGTCCCCTCTCCTCCACCCCCCCCCCCCCCCCTCCAGTCGAACAGTCCAGATGAGTCCTCCAACCAACCAGACGTCCCGTCGTCATGGATCTCGTCCTGTATTTGGAACTAGACCTACTTCAACCGTTGATTTGAAAGCTCTGCACGTTTTGTTCACCAAACCTTTATTTTTATTGTCAGTTTTTGTGGAATGGGGGGGGTGGGGTATGGTTTTAATTTGTCCCTTTTTTCTTTTGCTTCATTAAAACTTTTTATAAAATGCCATTTTATCATTGTGGTCTCTCATAAGACGGTTGTTTTCATTTGTCACTGTTGAGCTTCAGGGAAACATTCAGAGTACGTAGATGTAAGGAACATCTTGCAGTTTTTTTTTTCTTTGCTGTCCAAGTTAGATTTATGTTGGAAGTTTGCCATTTCCCAGTACAGACAGATGTTAATCCTTAGCTAGTAATCCGTTGTTCATATAGTGGCGTTTGAGTGATTTGGCTCATAAGGCAGCTCTTTTTACAGATTTCTAACTGAATGCCTTCAATAAACGAAGTCACCAAGTGGATTCCTAGTTGTGAATTTGCTAATTTGTAACTGTGCTTTGAGTTTTTTTTTTTTTTCATGTGGCCTCCCACCCCCCAAAAAGTTTCTAATTATGTATGGTTTTATTGTCTGTATATCTCATCCCAACAAAGTAGTTTCAAGCCTCAAATTTGTTGTTTTTTTCTGAAGATATTTTATAGGCATGACTTGTAATACAGATGGTATTGAAGTACATTTACTAGTCACAAAATCACCATGCTTTTAAACTGGCACGTAACGCGCTCAAAGGATCTGAACCCTTCCCTGTTCAGTGCTAAAACTATACATGGACTATTTCAGTATAATGATTGGCCCTTATACAGCAGGTAGAACTATAAAGACGTTTGAAAATCCATCTGTACATAGCTGCTCTAGTGATCCTGAACAAAACTAGACATACAGTACCAAAACCACAGCATCTACAAGGGGCTAACGGCTACAGCCAACACACAAGAACAACAAAAAGCACAGAATTGGGGATTTGTACATGGTTGTGGGATGGCGTTTTGCCCCTATAAAGGACATGAGTATCCAAGAAAGTTACAACACAAAGGGGAAAACTCACCAATATAAGTTACTTATACAGTTTAAAAAAAAAAAAAGAAAGCAAGTCAGCTAAAAATGAGGCCTCAATCCTATCTGCCTTACATTTCCATGTGAATGTAAGATCAGTCATTTATTAAGGCTGTCATAAGGTGCACAATCTAATCCACGCCTAATAAAAGAAGATGCCTGGCTTCTTCGGTCAACACATGATCTAAGCCACGGCCGTAGGGGGAAAACACTAGAGGCCCCGGGACCTGTGTTTTTATTTCTTAAAGGTTATGCCAATTCGGTCCTAACGTAAAAGCTCCTTTCTGCCTCGACAGTGGAGTCAGCGTTTCTCAGAAACAGACCTCTTTGACATGAAAAGACACGAGTTCTTGTTTTTTTTTCTTTGCTTCAGCGACGTGCCGCGCCGCTCAATTACAGGCCGGATTAGGCACCAGAGCGGTTCCACCCACAAGTCACAAATTACATGTTTACCTCAGCACACACGCAGTTTTTCGATTTTATTTTTATAGCAAACCAAAGACCGTCTGATTTTTTTTCTCTCTCTCTCTTTCGGTGCCCCGCAGAGATTGTAATTTGCTCAGAATTAGTTGGTCGACTTCTTGACGCCAGAATCCCAAGCTTGTTCTTCTGGTGCTTGCTAAATGTCTCGGTTTCTTGTGGAGGCGAGGCAGGGGATGAGTCCAGCTGTGTAAACAACCTTTGACATATTCCTTCCCCCCACCCGGCGTATTCAAATCGACCCGTGAGGAGAAAACCCTTCGGTCCCGTCAAACTCTTTTCCCCCCTTTTAATTCTTTGGCATCCGCCATTAGACATGGTCTTCTGACTGACATGACCCCGTGGTCAAGCCCCCGATCCGTAAGAGTCCCCCTCTCCCTCTCATGACTGACAGCGCTCAGCTGTTTTTGTTCCGCTCGGATCCACGTTAAGCCGCACTGCTTCCAACATTCCGCCCCCTTTTTCTTTTTTTCCTGGTGCCGCTTTTGACGAAAAGATATCAGTGAACAAATACCATTTAGGAGAACGTCTCAGAAGCCCTTGCAAAATCGTCTACGAGTCCTTATTTGATTGAGACAGCTCTAACCTGTTGGAGGGCGTGGACATAGAGCTCCATCTGGGTTTCTTTTGGCTAGTCAGATCTGAGCCTCGATGAGCTTGGAAGGAATCCATTGACGAAAATAAGACGAGATACAGTAATGCTTGTTTGTGTGTTATTGCTATAGCTCCATTGTTCCCAACAGAAGTCCAAGAGTTCAGGGACCATTTGGAGGATGGCAGCAAAAAAAATGTTGCTTGATTGCTCTCAATCTAGATTTAGTCACAGTTAGAAGTCCAGCCTGACCAAAAACAACTAAACTGATCTACGCTAAACCCTAGGGCTGCTCTCATTGCTGTGTCGTAGTTGGAGGTATGTCCCCCCCGGTTAATTTTTCATCTCCCAGTTCCTTGACAGATAATCTTCCAGAAAGTCTTTCTTGGCGGTTGAACTTGGATTGCGTCTACTCGTTAGATACTCTAAGAGCAGCTACTCTATGATGGGTACTGCTTGGTGTTGAGGGAGAGTTGCTGTCTGCTTTTTGTAAAGGAATGTAGGCGGGTTTCTGGGGGTGGTTGATACCGCTAGTCTTTGAACTTGTGAATGTCTCCGTAGAGCCATCGCTGGGGAGGCATGGCGGCCTCGTTGAGGTGATTGCACTCGTTGCTGCACTTGCAGGACTGGATGAACATCACGGACCGGCTGAAGCGTTCCCCGTCCGGGCAGGCGAAGCTCACGTTTGCGGTGCGCGTGCGGCGAGGGGAGCAGCAGCGGCCGTCCCGACAAACCCCGCAGTAGTTGGGCCGGTACAGGCGAGCGCTCCTGCATCCGGCGTAGGACAAACGGTGGGGCTCTGGGGCCTTGTGGGTCCGGGAGCATTTCCTCCCTTTCTGTTGACAAAAAGGAAAAAGGTGGGAAATTAACAAGACTATAACCCAATTCCAGTTTGTTCCCTCAACCCTACATCTCCTACAATATAGAAGCAGTTTGTTTTACATTTGTTTAATTCACATAAACGGTCCTGGCTAAATGGCTAAATGACCACTACTTCTCCTATGTACAAAGGGTAGTTGAAGGGCCAAAATCAAGAATTGTTATCTGGTTTAAGCCAAAGTAATGCCTTGAGAATATGCACACAGGATAAAAATCCTTGTTAGGACTATATTAGCCATGTTCACAATCTGTTAGCCAAGTTAGCAGGCTTACAGTTAGTAAGGAATACATGTAAAATGGCAATTTAGAGATAAAAACCCAGCAATAGTCCCAGAAAAGTCAACAAAATGGGGACACAATTTAATGCTAAATGCAAATGAATGTGTGCATACTATTTCATAATCACCAATTCCAACCATTATCTTAGTGCAGCAGTAAACTGGTACCGTATAAATAAAAGTTATTTAAGTTTTGGTGAGATTTAGCCTGCTCGATGGACCAATGATTCCTACACATAGAACAGAGGGGAAATCTTTTCCTTGGGATTGCTGTCACAGCTGTGATGACACATCATGAACACACAGTTTGGAATCAGAGCAACCCTGTATTTATCACTTCAGACACAGAAAAACAGAGTTAAGGCGGTTGACTCCGGAGACACGGACAAACAAAGTAAAGGTCAGAACAACGATGAGCGTGGGACGGAGCGGCGTGCCAACAATAGCTGGAGGCCTGACGCGGCTAGGCATGGACACCCACAGCAACCCCTGCAAAACACTGCGGCTCCTCAGTCAAAACAGGTGTGTACCGGCCCGCCGGGCTCACGGCCAAAGGCATAGCGTTTCGGAGCGGGTGAGCCGGGCTCCTCTTTAAATCACATGACTGCAGCTGTCCCCCCGCAGCGTCGCAGCCCTCAGAGCAGGAGACACGCAAACCAAAAGCCGCACGCCGGATAGCAGCGGCCTGTTCCTCTCTGGTGGCTGTGTGTTATTTACAGCTTTAAACGGCTTTGGTATTAAGTTATAGCCAAATGCCAAAGTCGTGTAAACCCCCTTATTTTTTAATAGGTCTGCTTCAGGATCATTTCCAGGAGGAATTTCCTGACTTTGGGCTGAACCGGGAAAGCCGTTTACATCATTGTGCAGCCCAATGGCTTAGATGAACAGCTGTTACCTTTTTTGTTTTGTTAGTGGTGGCCTGGGCTCCAGAAATAGCTATTCAATTATGTGAAAATATTTATTACTTCTCTTAACATTTAGCTTTAGTAGCGTTTGAAAGATGAGTTTCCTGCTTTTAAACTAAGCTAGTGCATTATCCTGTTTTCCTCCTGTAAAGCTAAGCTAATAGCTGCTTTCTGACTTTGCACTTGAAATTATTTGAACACGACATGCTTTTACCTGAAATATCTTCACATGTATTTGGGCCAAAGTCTTCCTGCATTTTAGCGGGGCTGGAAAAGTTGTATCTCTTGCTTTCAGCATTTTCAAACTAAGCTAAGTATATTTAATTGAACCTTTCTTCAACCTTCAGAAAGTGGTATTGCTTTATGGTTAAATGACATTGTGAACAATGTACACTTTCAAAAACAGGCAGGTTTAAGTAAACTAATGATCTTGGGCAGGAGGATCGTCCAGTCTAGGAAAGGACCTAGAAGCTAAGCTCATTTTTGTCACCTTTCATTTTTTCATGGTTGCTGAGTTTAATTTAAATTAATACTTGCTTTTGACCTGAAGTTTCACATGGGGAACTTGGTCAAATTCAGCTCTGTGTTCATCCTGCTGGGAATGTTGCCCACACAGCAACAGGACTGTGAATAGCAAGAGTGGACTAGAAAAGGGACTCCAGCTACATCTGATATTAATACCAATGACCCCATGAGAGTGATTATTTCCAGAAACTATTTAGCATGATGCCGGAGCTGCCTAGTCGTGGGCCATTAGCCACACAAAATACCTCTTTCTAAAATACTAAAAGCATTCTAAAACACATTGTTCACCTTTGTGGGTAGAGACATGGAGCTGCAGGGTCTGATGTTGCACAGACGGGTCTCCTTGATCAGTTTACACCGATCATTGTCGTTGGTAACGCGGGAGGAAACGCCCATCCCACAGCTCCGGGAACACTGGGACCAGGAAGTGGTCTGAACCACGCACTGCTCTCCCACCTGGCTCCAGGCTAGGACGGACGAAAGAGAGAGGACACGTGAGGACGACTGGCAGCGAGCACAGACGAATGATGAATCAGAGAGGCGGGCCGAGGGGGAAAAGCCAGCTCCAGAAAGGCGGCCATCAGGGGAAGGAGGGAAAAGAGGCATGGGGATGGCAAAGCACACTGGCCTTATTCACTGGACAGGGCAACACTGACACATAGAGAGGGTGATTACAGAGAAGGGAGAGCTAGGTGACAGAGGTATGTGCTGTGCAAGGTGGGGGGGGGGGGGGTGTGGGGGGGGGGGACCTCTGGTGTGCAAGGAGCCAGTGGAAAACAAGCTTCACATAAATGCCAACACACACTCATATTCAGAGGAAAAAAGGCTCGTATTGAGGCTGTTTGTGCGTCAAGGGGGCTAAACGGGCTAAAACATAAACAGGTCTCTTTGGCGTGCAGAGGAAACAGACGGCGCTCTTGCCCCCCCCCCCTTACCCAGCAGGTGCTTGTTTCCACGGAGCTTGTCCCACTTGCGCCCCACCTCCAGCAGTTCGTTGCCCAGGGCGCCCTTCTCCTTTTTTAGCCGGTAGGGGTACAGCTTCCGGTAGGGTTTGGGGTAAGGCTTCGGGTAGGGGTAGGCCGGGTAGGGCAGGAAGGGGTACGGCGGGTAACCGGGCTGGACGGGCGGCGGCCTGTGGGGGGGCGACCCGGCCTGTGCGGATCCCTTGTGGCAGTCTATGCTGAGGCAGCACTGGCCCGGCGCTTTGACCAGCTGCGGGGCGGGACAGGACGGGGACGCCAGGGGCACGTGGCTGGGGCAGAGGGGCACGCACCCCACCGCCCCGTCGATGCAGGTGCACTGGTGCTTGCAGCCGGCGCGGAAATTCTCGCCGTTCTGATAAATCCGGCCGTTGTATTCACAGGAACGGCCCTCGGCCTTTGCTGCGATGGCAAAAAAGAAGACAGGAAAAGCGGTAAATCGGTCAGTAAACCTAAAAGAGGCCAAACATGATCTTTGACAATCAAATATTCTTTGGGGGCAAGGGTTTAAAAAATGAAAAAAATATGATTGGAAATAAATAACGCACTCAGTTTATTTATTTATTTTTTTGTATGAAGTAAATGTGAGCGCTTAGTGTCCTGTCTGATGTAAACAGCAGTCAGAGCGCTCCCTGTTTGGAAAGCCAGGGTGGAGGATTGACTAACAGGGCCTGTGAAACCCGTCCAAATAACTCTGTGGTTTCTATAAAATCTCAATTTTGGATTTTTTTAAAGCATTTTCCCTTACATTGTGAAACCTTTAACTATATCACATAACCCTTTTCAGGCTAACTGAGTTATTTTCTCCTGAACTGTATAAAAATGCTAGTCCACCCCCCACCCCATCCCCCCTACCCAAATCCCCCTCCTTCATATTTGTGTAACTGGCTCCACATAATGTCTCCCTATAAACGAAACCAAAAAGCATCAACCGTGCACGTCATAATTTTTGATGAATGAGAGCAGCGTTCGATTCCGGGAAGAAGGGCCTTTACAGAAAAATAAATAAAAATCACCAAGAAATTAACATTTTACAAACCTTAAACCGTATAAAAATATTCAAATAAAATACAACATACACAGCTGATCATGATAAAAGCTCTTTAAACAAGCGACGAGTAAGTAAAAGGGAGAATACATATCCATGAAGGAAGTGCCATTCTCAGACCAGAAAAGGATTTGACCTGCGTTTAATGTCCTGTCTTTTCACCCTCTCAGTGGGACTCCCCCATACAACACCCTGGATACCCCCTTTATATAGAAGCACTCCCTAATAAACACACAAATAAAAATACCACCGCCAGTGCACACGCGTTTCAGGGGGCTGTTTGTGTGTATACTGAAGCGCTTGTATAAAATCCCCGGGTTGGCCGGGTTTCAGTCACGGCTCGTGGAGGTGCTTTGCTTTTGGAAACGTGGCAGTGGCTTCAAACCTCACGCCTGTATCAAAGAGAAACCCCCCCCAGCCAACCGGCTCAGGAGACAGATTCCCCACCCTGAAGGCACACATTCCCTCGCTCGGCCCGGGACTGTGCCCAGTCCTGGCCGAAAAAACCTCCCCAACCCTCCCGCCCCTTTTCGGTGGTACGTACCCCTGCAGATGCCGTGGGTGCGGCCCACGTCGTTGCCGTAGTTACACTCCAGTCCCTTGTGGTGGTCGCAGGGCCTGCCTTCATGGCAGTCTTGGTTGAGCTGAGCGGCACACACCTTGCAGCACCCGCAGCCGTCGGGGACCGAGCTGATCCCAGGGGGGCAGGAGGGGGGCACTGCCGGACATTCACACACCACTGGACACTCAGCAGTCACCTGCATAGAGGGGGATACAGAGGATTCACTTTGTTTTAAGCTAGTCTTGGCCGGCAGGACTTACTACAGTAGGTGAGTAAGGGGAAGTTACACTGGAGGCCGGCGGGACAAAAGCTTGACTCATGTTACCCAGATCACAGAAATTCCTGAGAGTGTGTGTGGCTCAGACATCGCCTGAATGCTCAGCACTGTCGCGAGCCCCCGTAGGGGTATCTGTAACCCTCTGTCGCCTTCCGGTTGGCATTCGCCTGGCATGCAGGGATGAAAGAGATGTTCTCTGACCCCACAACACCACCACCACCCCTCCCTCCCTCCTCCCCTGTTCCAACTTCTCTTGCAGGAGCAACCCAAACAACCCCGAGCAGGCGTCGAGATCACAGGGAGCTGTCAGCCTGCCCAAAGTCAGATTCTCCCCCAAACTCAGGTCAGCTTTCCCGTTTCCAGTCAATAGGCTCGGTGGGAGGAAAAAAGTATGTTTTTGCAACATACTCGACAACGACACGACGGTTGAAACATCCAAAGAAGAAAAGTCACATAATATTCCTGTAGGTATTTATAAAGTGCAGCTCAAATTGGCCTTAGGTGTATTTATATCTCCATTGGTGTATCTGTTGGGTAATATTACTGTAGCATAATTTTAGGCTACTGTGGGACAGAAGAAAGTGCACAAACGCAAGACATTTACAGACCCTATAAACTCCTACAGAGCCAAAATAGATAAGGAATTATCCCAAGCAGGGGTCACTGGAGATTAATTTTGATTCAAACAATTGTGTGACTCATGCAGGTAGAGTTATTTGGCTGAACTCACAAACTATTAACTAGTTTTACAGATGGTGAAGCATAAAAAATAACAAATTAATGGATTTGAGTTATTTCTGTCTTCTCCTCTGGATATTTAATGAAAAAGGAGCAGGCTATGACACCTTTCTGGAGGGCACACTGCCGTCTCCTCTTTGGAGACCAACATGTTTGAAAAACGACCTGTTCGACGGTTTGAAACTGTGTTGAAGGCTTAAATAGCGCGCGAAGCTTCGCGAGGTCGTTATTGGGACATACAATAACTGGCAGCAGCGAGGTGCCCGGGACGTCTGGATATACATTATTCGCTTATTCGTATTCGCTTTCCGGGCGGCGGCAGCTGAAGCCCGCCGGAACCGGGGCTCGAACCCGTGACTCTCGGTTGTTTGGACAAACAGACAGACGGTAGGCAGCACGTACTCACCAAACTGACAGCCGCCGCTCCGAGCAAAGCGAGCAATAACAGTATCCCCATGCTGTAAGCTGCCTCACATAGAAGACGAGACAGCGTTTTAAAGACAAAAAAAACAGGAAAAAAACTCAAAGTCACACAAAAGTAGTCCTCCGCGCGCACGGCAACAATAGCTTTCGTCCACGAAGGTTAAGTCCAAGCTCCGAAATCATTCTCAAGTGTCCTCCATCACTTGTGGAGGTCCACAGACGAAGTCTTGGCTTTATATCGGCCGCGAGCGCTTCACGGTAGACTCGCCCCCTCGAGACCCGCGGCGACCAATTAGGACGCCGGCGCCCGAGTCAGCGTGCGCTCGCGGAGAGGGAGGGGAGAGGGGGCGTGGCTTAGAGCCCCGGCACGGGTTCCAGTGGTTTGGAGGGAGGGGGCGTGGCCAGGCATGAATGCAGTCATTCATAAAAATGACTGAATTACTACATTCCAAAGCGGCCCTGGCTTTGGGGGTGTTTGTTTATTTTTGTGCGGGCGAAAATAATATTTTTCGTGCTTTAAAGTTCTTTTTTACACGCATACTTCCGCCCACTGCTTTGTGAAAAGCAAAAATAAATAGGCTCAGCTGCTGCTCTGTGCTGCACTGTGATGGTGGGATGGGGTGGGGGGGGGGTGAGCATCTCTTAGGCCCCCCAAAACGATACGACAAATGTGTGTCAAAAAGTAAAAAGGATCATCTCCAGATAAATTATCCTTCCCCCTTCCACATCCGATCTTCATCCCGAGAAGTTTCTCAAATCTCTCAACAAATATAAACACAGCCATACCCGTCTCGGTCCATTTGGTTTCAAATTGAGAGAGGAGGTGAGAATAATCCTCATAATAAGCCACTCAGACCGGATATTTTGTATCTGCAGAACCTGAACTGCTGTTTAGTGCTGTAAAAGACACAAACCAACTCTTTGTGTAGGAGGATCAAACACACATCCTCAAACATCACACTAAGTCCTTCAGCAACAACATAAGTTCACATTGTTCACTAAATGATGAGTTTGTTTTTAAAAAACCAGCCCGCTGTGGGTGGCTAAATTGTTGTTTTCCTTTCATTATGTGAATGTTTGCAGTTATTTGTGCCAGCATCAGGTATGATCTCTCTCCATCTTCTGAAAATTACCATCTGCACATAAATAAATGGATCCCAGAGGGATGCGTTTACACACACATGACCAGCAGATTACATTAATTATGGGGTTGAAATTATCAAACCTGTATGATTGTATGACAATGACCCCTAAATATACAAAAAACAAACAAAACAAAGCAATCAAATGCCTCCATTTGCAGAAAAAAAATAAGTGCATGTGTTTAATGTTACTGTGAACATTGTGTAAATTCCAATCAACAATGTGACCATTTAATGTAGTCAACATCAACAAGATCTGTTGATTGAAAATAAATGAATACATAATCAAATGAAAGTAAAAGACTGAGGATATGAACAGTATTTAGAGGATGGGCTTGAACCATAGTCCCCCGGGTGAAAGCCCAACAGGTGACTGTAAATAGCTGTTTTAACACAACTCAAGTTGCCATGTCATGTTTTTTCATTTATAGAGCTCAGATTTTTTTGGGGTCTATTTTATGCTTATTTTAAGACATTTTAGTTTCTTTTCTTATTTCCATTTAAGTTTTTATTTTTCATTTTGAACAGAACATTTTATCTAGGCAAACAGTTATGGGTCATACTGCTTACTCGACTCTTTTAATGGACTAATAAAATGTAAATACAGTAGATGTCCACTTTGGTGAGTAAAAAGCATTTTAGAAGAGTGAGTGCTTAAGATGGTCCATCAATCAATTTTATATACTCATTGGAGTATTTTGGAAGGGCTGGATCCCGGGATATAGCTAAAAAGGACCCAGATGGAAAGGCCCCTGCCAGGATTCAAACAGGTCTGGGATCACTATGAGGTGACAATGCTAACTCATGCTTGATCCAGGCATCACATGCCTGAAATCAATTTTAGAGCTAGTTTAGCTAAGTTTGCTTCCTCTAGTATGAGTATAATCAGTGAAATATATGCTCTACCAAACAGTTGAGCGGGATCTTAAAGGGCAAAAATGGTAAAAGCCTTAAGCGAAAGCCAGTATTTTGGTTTTTCCCTACTGGGCTGCTTGTAAAAGAAGACTTAATGTTTAAGAATAAATCCCCCTTTCTGAATCACATCACTTCCTGAAACTATTGGGTTACTACTTACAAGGTAACGAGGACCTGTCATCATTTTTTATATAGTCGAGAGTGAAAAGTGACTAGTATCAATTTTGTTTGGGGAATGACACGGCTCAGGCATTATTTCTGTTAAACCCTTATCTTGAAACTGGAAAAGAAGCATAAAAGTACGTGAAACTAGCAAATATTCAAGTTAGCCTCCCGAGTGAACCACATGAGTGAAAGCATTTAGCATCTGTCACTTCATACACCCTGCAGTGCAAGTATGGTTCCAAGAATTCACACCACAAGCAGTTAAGACAGACAGAAAATAGCACACACACCTTCCCACGTACACACAGTGTGTCTTCACACACACTGAGGCCTACACAGAGAACAAAATTGATGTATTTAACAAACCACAATCCTCTTTCCACACAACCCATCCCTCTTTTTTTGTGGATGCATAGAGGTGATGTAACTGTGCCGCGAAAACAAACCCAACACGAGACACTTTCGCACACTTACTGAGTTTGTGTTGTTTCCAACGTGTTTGTGTTCCACTGACTCATCAGAGAATGTGTCTTTTCCACTTTGGTCTCCATGTCATCCGCTCTGCACTTTGTAAAAATGAAAAAAAGAAAAGAAAAATCACGCAACACATCACAGAGGGGGCCTGTTTATTAGCTTTTTGGAGATGGGGAAACACTGCCGCCGAGCTAAAAAAAAA